TCTCTCTCTCTCTCTCTCTCTCTCTCTCTCTCTCTCTCTCTCTCTCGCTCTCTCTCTCTCTCAATGTGCTTAGTGCAGTCCATAGGGTGGTAAATAGCGGGCTTGGTTCCATAATGCCTCCTAGACTTCAGAAGCTATTTTTGGAAGGAATCTTCTCCATTGGCCGTGCCCAACTTTCACCATTTCTTTTAAACGAGGCCAATCCATTTGGTTCTGCAAGGTTGGCCAAATTGAAGAGCATTTTGGATGAAGGCAACAGTCTTCAACTTCAATTTCCTGCTGAGGATCTTGGTTTTAGGTTTGTGTTCTTGTATTCTCTCGTCTCTTTTCTTTCTAGTTTATATCAGTGTAGGAAAACTTGGGTGAGTCGCTCGGACTCGCCCGAGCCACTCGGGCTTGTCAGGTCTCTGAGTCCAGAACAGCCCCCGACAAGGGGCATGTATAATATATTTGAACTTAATTTATAATTGTTTCAATCTTCGACTAAATCAGTTATAATTAATTTATACGTAATTTTCTATATGCCTTTTATGTTTATATCAATTTTTAGTATTTCTTATTTTTTCTATTTTTCTGAGAGTTTTCTGAGAATGATCTTTAACTAGTTTTCTATTATTTCCATTTTTTGGAACTTTTTTCTCATCTTTTATGTACTGTTTATTTTTTTATTACTACAATATGATTTTCATGAAAAAGGAAAAAGGCAACCAAAGTGCTCGTACTGAACTCTAACTTGAGGTCTCTTTTCTTGATGACAATTTATTATCATGTTATTGTTTATAGGTATCTTGAAGGAGCCCTTGTTCCTGAAATTACAGTTTGTGGGGAGGAAACGTTTGAACCTACTGGCAGGAGAAGGGAGTATGTTCCCTCAGCAGAAACAGGAAAGCGCCTGCCTCATATGAATGTTAGGGTTCTGAAAGGAGTATCAAAAAAGGTTCGGTTCCTACCTGAAGAGTTACAATTTTGCCTTTTTCCTTTTTTGTGATCTTGTCAAGTCATCCACCCTTCCACCCCACTGCTGGGTGGCCCACCGCTACCCCACCCACACATACACCCACCCCTACATGTACAGAGCTTAATGAGAACCCTTGTGCTGTCTAGCCAAAACAAAAATGATAACCTTGTTCGAATTTTTCAAACCAGTCTCCTTAAAACAAAGTGAGAAATGTGACTGTCATCTCTTAGTCTATTGAAAGAAACGGTGAGTCTTTTCATGCAAGCGAATTGAGAGAAAAAATTATTGGTTTCCTGTCTGGATGATAGCTTGCCCATGAATGCACCAACAAAGTCTTACCAATTCTTTCTCAAATTCGAACATTGTGAAGTAATCTCAAGGTTCAACTATCATATCCTGAAGCAATTCTATTCAACTATCATATCCTAAAGCAATTCTATGTATTATGTATGGGAAATACACCCAGTGTCATTTGCAAATGTAAGTTTTGAGGCAATCACCAAAGGAGATTGGGCCAATGATGTAGCCATAAAAGAGATTGGGCTGATATACAATGTAATCATAGACTCAGCCCAGTTGGACATCTGACTTGGCCGGTTTGGTGGCGGACCCAGAGTTGGGACTGTGGTAAGTCTGAGCCTGGGTCCTTGTTCTCAAACATTTGTGTCATTTACTTTCCTTATATTATTATACCCTCTACCCTGCCACCCCCTTGCAAAACACAACAAAGTCTCAAAACACAACAAAGAGAGGAAAACATGTAGCTTCTTAATCTTTTGTAATCCTTTGCTTTGTGTTTCCTTGAATTGATCTTCTTAGTTTTTCACTTGTTTAGGAGATATTATCTACCCTGGATCTACTATTTGGAGATAAGATAGACTTCCTTCTCATTGTGGGACCTAGGAAAGAGTCATATCACCTTGCAAGTGGGGCAATTAATGTGGCAAGGAGCTATGAGGTTTCTCTAAGGGTATGTATAATGTGGCCATATGGATCTACCCATGAATGCATGGCTGCTAATGATGCCATACGACCCCAGGTGGAGAATGTGATTGATGTTGTGGAATTGGGGTGCCCTTTATCATCATCATCGGTGTTGTCATCGTCATCATCATCGTGGTGGGACTTGTGCAAGATGTCAAACAAGGGTGCAATTTTGGTGAGGCCAGATGAGCACATAGCATGGAGGACCAAATTTGGAATTGATGGGGATGTAGATGGGGAGATTAGAAGGGTCTTCTCTATGATTTTGGGAGTGAATAAATAGAGTTTAATATTTATTTCAAATTGAAAATCATGTTATACATGTGAAAAGAAAGCATAAGTTGCATTATGTGACTTAAATCTGAAGTTGTAATTAGAACCGCTACAAATGAAATAATTTGAATTTCATGACTTGCAAATAAATGAAAATGAAAGCAATTATGATTCATGTTCTAAATAAGAAAATGTTGTATTTTTATCATATAGGCTCTGCAGACCTCCTTGTTCTAGTGGCCAATGTGGCATTTCCCTCTCCACGAAGGCGAAGAAGAGAGAGATGGCATGGGCTGCGCATCTCCATATGATAGCAGAGCCTGTATATTTATTAGTACTTGCTGTAAATATCTTTGTGGAGAGGCTGGACTTGCAACGGCCTTGTCTTAGATAGAGAAAAGAGAGAGACTTGGGGTAATGGAGCCCTCGAGAACTCCAAACGATGGAATCAGGTTTTTCACCAAAACCATAGTCTTAACTACCGATTCTTGGCTTCAAATTCGAAGGAGACGATCAAATTCCACCATGGTGAAATTGAATGAGGTTTTACCCGTTCTCAATCATATATATATATATATAATCAGATCAGACAGTCCAAAAAGTTGGACAATCAGTGTACGGTCTGGGGCCTAATTTAATCATGAGGTTCCGTAGTTCATATATTCTAAAATATACCGTACTAATGTGAACCTAAAATTTACTGCAAGGCCTTTGACCACAAAATGCCATTCCCATCTGTATCCATGATTTTTTAATCGCCGGTTTAAATACATTTTACATAGAAAAATTGTTTCACACAAGCTGGACCGCATTTTTACAATATGCAGTCCCAAGGTATAAAAAACTTAAAAGATGTTTTCTTCATTTAAAACCAATTGAAACTAAGGTCCAAATGTTATTCATAAAATCATTATTTTTATTTCTTAAAATTTATTTATTATTTTATATTCATGATCTCCATGTTAGAGATTATATATCTTTAAATATTGGGTCCGAAAATCCATTTAAAAAATAGTTATTTAAGAGTCGACTCATTTCTACATGAACTCATAGAAACTGTCTTTTTATATATATTAAGAAGAGGAGTATAACATGCATACTAAACTTGCTCTGTTCGACAAAAGATCCACCCGGAATTTGTAACATACAAATTCAGGACATTTTCAATAAAAAATTGATTTTTGATTCTTAAACACTAGGACTGATTGTCAAAAAATGGGTCAATCCCAATATAACCAAGGTTTTATTTTTTTTAATCAGGTTTATATAAAGTATTTTAGGCTAGTTGCTGATTTGAAGATTTATCCAAAATTTGGGGGCCTGAAGTACTCACCAGATCGGGTAAAAACGCTTTTTTTTCACAGGCAAAGTGGCAAAAAGCTCTAATTGAAGATCAGATATTCAACACAATGCCTTTAAGATAGAACTAAAGTATTCATTAAGGAGGTCACAAAAAAACCCACATAAATCCCCAATCAATTACCGCCAACGTGCACCAAGACACCAAGATGAAGAAAGAAAATGAGACATCTTCAAGCTCTTGGTTCTATTTTTACTAAAAGCAAACAATCTACACTTGCATGGTCTCTAACTTTATTTCACTTGAAACCGCAAAAAGAATGCTCAACAGATGGCATTATGGCATTAGGCCCTTCATCATCTCAAAATCAAACCACCTGGTAATTATCAGTCAGCAACTGCACCCTGCTTGAATGTTTTGGAGGTGCACCTCCTTTTAAAGCTATAATTTGGACAACCTGCACGGTAATGGAGAACCATCCGTCATCTCTCTCTCTCACTGAAAATTTTAAACTAATAACAATGCACCAGCTATGACTTTGATCAACATACCGTCACTTCAGCAAAAGTCCTGGCTGATGTAAATTCCACATTGATAGGAAAAAAAGCGGATGAATCAGCTGCCCGCACAACAAATTCCATAGAACCACTGCACAATTTCATCCATGTAGATCTTTCAGTAATCAATATAAGTAGAGAGAGAGAGATAGTATAAGTAAATGATTTCCTTTTTAAAAGAGATCTATATTAGTAAACAACTGAAGATTGCATTCTTCTTACTTCCTGTTAGAGCTGTCAATGAGCAGAATGGACCACACTAAGCAAGAACGTCTTGGATCATAACTGCATATGCAATTTTACATATTAGTAACAAAGCGTACTATATGCAATAAGTGGCAGTGCATAAGAACACACAGGTTGTTTTCAAACCGTGTTTACTGTTTAGAACTGGAGGCAAGAACCAGAATATTAGGTTTGAGACTGAACTTCAGTCAAACTCCATTGGAAGGAAAATAAACTTTTCACTGGAAAAAAGAGAATCTGGCAATCGCTCAAAATATCCAGCTAGTTTTGCTAACATTTCTGTAGCATTTAGAGAGAAAAATACAATACCATGTTTTGGTTGATTCAATTCATAAGTTACTATAGTTATTTCCAAATCTTGGTCAATGACTTCAGAGATTGCATCTAAATTCTACAGTTTCAGATTCTACAGTTTCAGAGAAAAGCTTTCAATATTTCAGTGTGGACTGTAAGTTCCCAAATAACCCCCACTAGTCAAAGCACAATTAGATTCAGAACATCACTTACAAATTACAACCATCAGAATCACCTCCACCCCCCACAAAAAAAAAGCAAATGCAGAAGTGCCATGTACTTAGCAGAAAATAAATAAATCAAAAAGGAAAAGAAAAGACTGGGACTCACCTCCCTTCTCCATCAACCTGCCTGACATTGGGAGGATCACGTAGGGCAGGCAAAGGTATCAAAATGAGAACATTGTGGAGATCAAACTGCGATGAAGCTTCATATTCTATGCTCACATAAGTCTCACCACCAGAAACAGATGGCCAACAATTGACTGGCAATTTAGGAATATATTTCAGAATAAGAATAAGGAGAACACATAAACCAGATAATACAAATAGCATTAGGAAACATACAATATATTTAGTGAACCATGAGAAACCATATCCATTGGGTCACCATGTCCATTGAAATGACAAACAGGGATGGAGGGAGATCCAATATTGGGGTCACGTCCCGTTCTGCTGGGTCCCAATCTCTGTTACCCTCTATTTCAATGGATGGCAATGACCCAATGAAAGTTGTTTTTCTCAAAAGGGTGCGGTTTGTATAGAACCTAGGCCCTAAACAATCAAATTAAAGCCTACCTCCAAATAGTATCGAGAAATGTGGTTTCAATACTGGAAATCTCTGTGATAGTCTTAAAATATATTTTCACCATTATTTATAAAGTTTAAAGCTTCAAAAATAGTGTAGATCAGCTGATCTATGAAAACTCGAAAATCTTGAAAATTGACAGTCCAAAAATGTGTTACAAAATACACTATATTTTTTTCTCATGTCCATGCATCTTGATGTCGAGATGATCAATTCGAGGATATTTGGGCATCAAAACAACCTCATCTAGTGCAATTTTTGAGGTAGGCTCAAATTTGATTGTTTAGAGCCTCGGCTCTATATAAACTTTTCCCTTCTCCAAATCCACGGATTTCCATAAACTTTCACAAATAGAAGAAGCCTGAATCTATGAAATATGAAATAAAAAGGACAATTAAAATGCAAAAACTCACTGCTCAATGGAACAAGAGACTCATTGGTGCTTTGCATTCTCCATTTTAGGAGGCCAACACCAGCTGCATCACCAGTTTGGCTTGTGGGGAAAGGCCTACTAGGATCTTTGAGGCCTAGAATATTTTGATTTGAGAACAACTCCCGGTTGATGTTAGGATGGGTTTTAAACTGCAAACCCGCATTGTCTCCTGTGTCAATCTGGGCAAAACAATATAGGTTTCAGTATTTGCCAACAGAAATTTCAGATATTGGATAACCAAATACAAATTTACGATGTGCTTTGCAAAATTTAAATGCTTCAAAGGGAACAGTCCACTCCCACTTACAGGTCAAAAAATTTTTAGAACATTGTTCAGGTAGATTTCACCATAAACTTTTCTCATAATCATGAAATCATCAGAAGATTTTACAAATAGATATATTCTTCTTAGAAACACTACATCCCCGCTCACCCTCATTTTCAGAAGTTATTGAAAAATACATTCATGCTTACATCTAAACACATGTTAGAAAGGTAGTTCGGCTCCTTTGGTGTATCAGGTCAAACTTGAGGGGTTTAAACCTTGAACTCGCCCAAAGTGGGACATCTAAGTGCATGTTCACACGTGAAATATAAGTCAAATATTCATAACAACTGTATGTTACAGAACGTATAAAAGATTCAAGTAAATTAAGTTGAGAATATATAAATGCATTTCTCATTCTTCATTTTTTTCTATTTTCCTTTTTCTTATAAAAAATTTTCCTTTATTGAATTTCCTCATATGCATATGCCCTCTCAAGGGATCCTAACAAAGAAAATAAATAATTTTTTTAAAGTATTCCTTATTGCAAGTACTCCCAAAAGAACATATTGTTATTACGACTGATACAAAAGGGTGAAAAAAAAAAACAATCTGAGATATCCTCTTCTGGTTCTTTGGTAATCTTTACCTTGGTTGCACTGCTTATATAATGCAAATTTAAATGGCTTAGGTACAGAACGTATAAAAGATTCAAGTAAATTAGGTTGAGAATATATAAATGCACTTCTCATTCTTCATTTTTTCTATTTTCCTTTTTCTTATAAAAAATTTTCCTTTATTGAATTTCCTCATATGTATGCCCTCTCAAGGGATCCTAACAAAGAAAATAAATAAATTTTTTAAAGTATTCCAAAATACTACCTCATTGCGAGAACTCCCAAAAGAACATATTGTTATTATCACTGATACAAAAGGGTGAAAAAAAAAACAATCTGAGATATCCTCTTCTGGTTCTTTGGTAATCTTTACGATGGTTGCACTGCTTACATAATACAAATTTAAATGGCTTATCTACAAGTAATAAGTATGACGAGTTCAATAAACGATAGAGAATTTATTTTCAAAAATTGCTAAATGACAGCCACTATAGGAGCAATGTCAGAAGAAACCTTTGAAATAAATGAGATTGGAGGTTGTAAATACATTAGTAGGATAAGGATATCTGAAGATATAGAAGTTTGGAAAAAAAAGAAGATGGGAAACGCTTTTAGGACCGGATGGTACCTGAATAGACATTTGGCAGTGCTTGGGAGAGATTGACATATCCTAGTTGACCAAGCTATTCAACAAGATTTTGAGAACAAAGAAAATGCCAGGAGAAAAAGTACGCTAGTACCTATTTACAAGAACAAAAGAGATATATAAAATTGTACGAACTACCTAGGGATCAAACTTATGAGCTACACTATGAAGCTAATAGGAGAGAGTAATTAAAAAATGACTACAACATAAAACAACAGTATCAATAAATCAGTTCCGTGTTATGTCGGGAAAGTCAACAATCGAAGCTATTTTCCTCCCTAGGCAATTGATTGAGAAGTTTAGAGAGAAGAGAAAAGACATCCACATAGTATTTATTAATTTAGAGAAAGCATACGATACATTACTAGAGAGTTAATTGATCAGTGCCAGAAAAGAAAAAAGTATCTAGAGGATATATTAACACGGTGAGAGATACATACGAGGAGCACTAACTAGTGTGAGGACAACTAGTCGGAGATAAGTGAGTTTTCAGTAATAGTAGGCCTACATCAAGGGTCAGTGTTGAGCCTGTATCTCTTTCTTTTGGTTATGGACGAGTTAATTAAGCATCTACAGGGTGAAGTAACATAATATATGTTGTTTGTGGATGACATAATTTTGATTGATGAGACTAGAGACGGCATTAATGCCAAGTTAGAACGTTTGAGGAATAATCTTAAATCGTAAGGTTTTAAAACTAGCCAGATTAAGACAAAATATATGGAATGCAAGTTTAACAATAAATAGAAGTAAAAAAGAGGAATTAGTTAAGTTGATGGCCAACAAGTACTTAAAAGGGATTATTTTCGATATCTTGAGTAGATAATCCATGAAAATAAAGAGATTGAGGAAGACATCGCGCATAGAATTAAAGCCGGTTGGATGAAGGGGAGATGTGCTTCGAAGTTTTATGTGATCATCGCATAGACTAATGAAACTTAAAGGGAAAGTTCCATAGGACAGCTGTAAGACTATGCTTTATAAGACAAAATGTTGGGCAGTCAAGAAACAACATACCCAAAGAATGAATGTAGCTAAAATGAAGATTTGAGATAGACAGATAAGAAACGATAGAATTCAGAATGAATACATCTACGGGAACTTACGAGTGGCTCCAATAAGCAATAATATGAGGAAAAGTAGACTTAGATAGTCTAACCATGTCCAACGTTGACCTAGAACCACACCGGTTTGGAGAGGCAATTTAGCTCAAGTGGAAGACTCTAAAAGTCAAAGAGAAGGTGATCTATAGTCCAGATGGAGGTATGAGACTTGAAAGAGGAGAACGGCGGAGCATAATTTTTGTAGCTAACCCCAAATATTGGGGTAAGGCTCGGATGATGATAATGATGATTATCTACAGTAACATCCCCCGTTTTTCCATAAACCACATTTTAGAAGCCCATAACACTCCCCCCACCCCCCACCCCCCAACCCCCCTCTTTTTTTGCCGATCAACCGATAAAAGTTAATCTATCGTTTACAAACTACCATTTGAAATAAGGGCAACTATGAGATTAGGCAATTAGCCTTAAGACCTATTTCCTTGCAGCTCTCTCTAACACAGAGCTCAAAATCCCTCCCTCACTCATCATAATGAATCCACCACTTTAAAAGCCTGAATCCACCTCCCACCCCCACTATCTCTAGAATTTCAAAATATATGAAAATTGGAAGATCTGAAAAACTGTCCCAAAGTGAGAATTCCTTCCATCTGCAACAAAAACGAATTAGTGATTAGTGCTAACATGTGTTAGAATGAAGCCCAATATTTAAAATGTGAGAGGGGGACTGTATTGAAGAGACAAATGATAGTTTGGGAAGAGCGGGGGAGGGGGGAAGCGAGAGATGGCAGTTTGAAGACATAGAGTGAAAGGGATATTAGAGTTTAGGCTTCTATAGAGGGAGACATCATAGCTTGAGAGAGAGAGAGAGTGAAAGAAAGAGTGTGTGTGTTGGCAGGATAAGCCTCGATAAATTGAAAGCCCTTTTGTTTTATATCATGATTCTACACATTAAAACAATTTACATTTAGCACAATACAATGTGTCACAATCATCCCTAGCCATCGGATGTCAATCCAACCAACTTGGGATGTGTCACAAAGTTGGAGAAAGTCTTTTGGGACTTTGAGTCCAATCAATGTCACATCCCTAGCCGCCCAATTCACATCTAATGGCCGAAGATAAGTGTGATTTATGACCTCCTTGTAACAAAGGTATATGGTCTTATTGTATAGTTTCTCTTTTTCTTTTGGACCCACTCATATGACTAATTACATGGATTTTGTTTAGGCAGACACGTTGAGCCTCAAGAGAAATTGAAACCCCTGTATGTTTATTCCGAACCCACAAATATAACCAATTACATACTGGCGCCAACTTAAAATAGTGCTTTGCAAATAAATAAAGGGGCACTTTTTTGTAAAATAGACGGTGTTACAGGCTCCTCAAGATAACCTATGGGGAAAATGGGGGTATGTCACCCATATAAAAAGTTCAATTTAAATATCTCAACTTTTTTGTTATTATTACCTAAACAATTGAACATGTTGACATGGAACCACTCCTATCAACAGAGATTTTATATACTCCCAGATTCAACATGCCAATGCTTCCGGACTTTAGGAACAGTACCTGGACTTGGATGAACCCATCATCTCTGTTCAGAATTTGAAGGGAAAGAGTGCCTTGCACTTCAAAGTTACTCAACCCACCATCCCTCTTGAGTGTCACATTTATCTTCTCTTCAATGCATAATGTAACAGGATCTGTGGGCACAACTGCTGCAGAAACCTTTGATAAACTAGTATTTGCCGATACATCCTCCAAAATGACTTCGCCTTCGGCCCTTAGAGATTCAAGAAATCGGTTCGTCTTCTGAGTCTTCCCTAGCTGCATCCCTAAACCCTTTGCAGGCGCATGTGCAGGGGCATCCACAGATGAGGGACCTGGAGAAAAGTTTGGCAAATTAGATACTCTCACCCCATAATCGGTAAGCTATATGCTGTTCACTATAAAGAGGCTTGTGGAAGAACACAGGACAACTTATAGCCTTGCAAATAAACTAGGACTTCTATGGGAAGAAAACCTTAGAAACCAAGAAAATCCCATAATGGAGACACACGCATACAAAAGCATGGATGCACGCACGCACACACACACACAGAGGAATGAGATTCTATAGACCAAGGGACTATACTGTAGTTATAGCCAACAGGGCTGGAGGGGCATTTGTTTGACAACAAGAACTCTAACCTCAGCTTTACTCATAGAACTAATCAATCTCCAAGGTCATTCTAGAAACAATAATTTGAAGTTTAAAAAATGCTCTATCTCCTTTCCCGCTCCAAGGAAGGCTCTTGAGCATCCATTTGATGGACAATAAGATTTAGAATTTAAAGAGTATCTTTTTTTTTCCTGGGGTTTTTGGGGATTTTGGGGGGGGGGGGATTGATCTCGAGGTGATTTCAATATGGTGTGGAAATTTCAGATGACAAAAATCCGCCTAGGTAAGTGTTTTGTCGCAGAGAGAAAGAGAGAGCCATGGTTTCTTCTATAAATTCAACTTCTAAGATAAAAATCAAAACCTCTCATTAAAAGTCAACTAATCCAAGCTCCAGATAGAAATGGTTCACAAGAAGTTAAAAAATCTGAGAATAAATCGAAAATGTAGTATATTATCAAAAATAGATACTGCCACTTTGTAACTGAGTGATAAAGAACAGATATCATGATTAGAAACCTTTTGGTTTGGGGTACTCCAAGTCTACATCCAAACCATGAATGGAACCGCTGCCAAAACCCCCTCCACCTCCACCAGAAATTCCCATTTTGCTGAAGCCATTGTCAAGTCTTCCCAGCCCAGATGAATTCAGAGACGTCAACCCTCCTTTATCTCCTCTGGATTTCTCAATCTGCCAAAAATGAAAATCTAGTGAAAAAGGGGGCAACTCATATAACTAGATGACTCTAAATCTATAAAACAAATTTAATCATATAATGCTCATGATTTTCAAATACTCCAAAATCAAGCGTTTTCTAGATAACCCAAATTTGGACGGTGGATTTGAACTGAGAACTCAGCCATTGTCGAGTCAGATGTTTGGCTGTACCAAATATCTTCACTTTGCAATTTCTTCAGATGGGCTCTCCAGGTCAAGGATGCACAAGCTCCCGGCCAAAATACGGACTAAAATGGTTTCAGAAAAAAGGATTGGTGCATGAGGCTTTGAGGCATTTGCATTCAGCGGACCATTTTGTACAGAAGCCCTACAGCGGCTCACTTAGAAATAATCCCATCCCCTAGACACATCATGAAAGACCACAGAGCAAAATCTAGAGTATTCCATTCAGTAAAACTACGAAGAAGCATTTCAAGATCTAATCTTAAATGCCCCAAATGAGACTCAATGTCCAATGCAGGGTGGCAAGAGGTCAAACCAGAACTTTCAAAAGCTCCACTCATGTAGAAGAAAACAGCAGTTATGGACATCTTTCTAGCAATGGAGGTTTAGAGGAGGGAACCCACCCCCAACCCCAAAACCCCAACATTGCAGCATTTGCATTGTTATATGCTTAGGAAAGAGCTTGAAGGGTGAACTCTTTCAGTCAAGTACATTAACACCATAGTCCCATAAGGTAAATTACCAGATGTTGAAATGATGAAGGGTGATGGAGACTCATTGCAGCCCACCATTGGGCTCATACCATGTTCTGATGGGTCCCACTATCTCCACCACTGTCAATCATTCCCTTCAACAGTGATTACCCCAATGGACTGTGGTTGTCCATGGACGCCTATACTGCACGCACGCATGTTTTACAAAAAAGACATGCATCTGTTACAAAGCAAAGAATCGGGCATGAATGTCTTTTTGTCCAATATGTGGACTTGCATATCCACATAGCGACCATGTTTGCTATCCACAAAGCAGACACATCATATCCACAAACTCATGTCAAAACGAATTTCGAGTGTCTTGTGTGTTGACACAAGTATCTAATGCATTATTATATCAGATTCTCCTATTGCACGTGATGAGTGTCATTTGCAAGAAAGTCCTATCAAATTTCCTTTTGATCTGGCGATATGTTCGTAACGATGAAAAGGATGAGAAGGGTAAATTTGATCATGAGTGTTTTACTGCAAATTAACAAAGCTATATGATGACATTTTCTAAAAGTTTTCCAATTGCAGTGGGTTTTATCAAACAGCCTTTTAATTTCGATTTTGGATATATTTTCTTGAAAAAATGAACATGTACGATGTTTTAGTGCTTGCATATGAGTAACTAATTGGCATAGTTATTGAAGATTAATTTTCAGAGGAGCCAAGAAGAAGAAACCTTTTCCAACAAAGCATGGCATAGATAGGACATATTTTTTCAGATACTTTTGGCTATCCAATCTGTGATTTTAGTTGGCTACAACTAAAATGCATGCAATATTTATCAAAATTCAGATGGCCGTCTATTGGATTTTCACAAACCACATTCGATCATTTTGTGGTGTGCAAACCAAGCCATGAGGATAATGTACTGAAAATGCTAAAAAAAAATCTCTGCATGCCTGGAAAATGCCAGAAACTCTGCTTGAGTCTCTCTCTCTCTCTCTCTCTCTCTCTCTCTCTCTCTCTCTCTCTC